CATAAAGAAGTCTATTTTTTCCCCCAAGTGTACATCTTCACACATGTAAGAAAAGAAATTACCACAGGGCACTTCTGTCCTGTTTCAGATGATCAATTCAGCGTTCTGAAGCACTACATGTATTTTCATTAAGATTTCTTAGTTTTTCCTCCACAATGTACAGTGGTTTCCTTTTGATGCAGAGTACCGTGGCACATGCTACAATGAAGGAGGGAAGAAAGCAACACAGGCTTGAAAAACAACAGAGGATGAGGAAGGAATGGCTTTTGTCAATGTGACAGACCTGAGCTGGGTGCAGAGTGGGATTTGGTAGGGGTTGTGAAGGCTCTGGTTTTGCAGTTTGCCCCTCACTGCAGATGGCCCTTTGATCTCCTAACCAGACAGCAAGCATGCTGGCACCCCATGTGCTGGTGAGAGCTGCTCTGTGTGCACTGCACAGCATGAACACGCATGGGACTTGCTTTAAAAACGGATTCACCCAAATCAGCATTCCTTTTTAGAAAGTCTCACGTTGTTCCGAACTTCCCAGCTGAGAGACAGGAAATATGTTTCCGTCTCCCCAAATCTTGCAAGACCAAGAGTTAAATTCTTAACAGCAATCTCCTTTCACAATGATCCTTTCTCGCAGCCAACCTCCTGGCACAAACCTGACTGTGGGACAGCTTCATCTTGAGGTTCTGGCATATAAAAAGGACCAGAAGTTAGGTCCTGCCTGGCCTAGTCAAACATATTCGGCACGAGTTCTCAGTGCTAAGAGCAGGCCATACAACCCCACTGCAGCCCTGCCAGCAACCAGCCAGACTTACAGATAAGTAAGTAACCTGACAACCATCACCCAACACCGTGCCAAATGAGACCTGTTCTGTCCTGCCCTGATTTTACACAGTCCAACAAGATGGAGCAACATTTCTGCCTCTTACCACAAAATACCCCCAAATTTTTAAAGTACTATTGATAACCTTTACCTCAAATCCAAGTTCTGACAGCCACAAAGCAGCATGCAAAAGGAATGAGCGGCAGAGCTGCACCCTTACACATGCTCACATTATGCTAATCTGCAGACACTTAATCAGAAAGGCTAATACATTACAAACAATTAATGGCCAGAAGAATCAGGAGAGGTTTTGACCCTCTCTAACAAGGGCTTGAAACATAAAAATATTCTGATTATGTATGAATCTCATACAAAATTGCAAATTATATGTCCACAATGCATAAAATACAGTCATTTTCAAGTCACATTTAGGTAAAAATGGAAACTGGACTTAGCTGCTGGAGCAGCTCTTCAATTGATCCAACAACTCATTGTGTCTTTAAATATGAATAAATGCAATTTAATCAGCCATTCCTATCGATTAATCCCAAGTATTTATTGAGGAAACATGCAACTATAGGAGAAAAGAAGGTCATCCAGAACATAGGATCCCATGATAATCAGCAGGTTAACAGCAAGATGTGAAATCCTCACCCTAGCAGAATCAATGCAAAATTCCTGTCAACTTCAATGGGGCCAGAATCCTCAGTCTAAAACTCACAATGGACCAAGCCTTGTGACAATGGAGAATTCTGTCCCTGAGCAGACATCAAGATAAGCAAAGGTAACAGATCCTGAAAGGGAAGTTCAGATGTCCCAGTCATAACTCAGTAATTACAACAGCTTGTCACCGCTGAACTAGACTAGGTAAAGAAGCAAAGCGTCACCTCCTCCCTAGGCTAGCTGAGAGGCACTGAGGGGCTCATGGCCAAAGGTTCCCTCACTCCAACAGTGCCTCACCCTGCAGTGCTGCCAACCGCAGCCTGAGGGCAGACAGAAGGCAATGCACCTGCACCTAAGCGCTGCCAGGGCACAGCTATGGCTACAACATCTGCAGAGAGGTGTGCTACGCTAACCAGGCTTCCCCAGACTCCTCTCTGGAGCCAGAGGGAAGGCAGTTTGCACTTTTGGAAGCCTGGCCAGGGCACTACAACTGCAACTAGAAGGAGAGCTTAGCGTTTGCCTTCATAAATCGACAAATCATTATGAAATACCTTTGATTCAATAGCATATTTAGATGCTTCAGATCCCTGTTTTTTGCTGCTAATAGTCCCTAGGTTTTTCAGTGGCAGCTCTCTTGACAAGAACAGAGAGGCCTGGATGAAAAGAGAAACTCAAATTCTGTACCATCTGTTACATGACTCCCAATCTGAGAGAACAGATGCTGGACTTCCCAATCAGCTTTTGGCTGATCTAGAAACATTTTGCTAATTAGGGCTATAACTATAGCTAAGACAAAACAAGTGTCAGAGAAAAAGTGAAAGACTGGCTCAAATTCCTCTTATACTACCTGGGTAAAGGAGATGTCCTTTTGGTAATTGTAATATGGCACAAAACAGCCTTCCTTAGAATGAACATACATCAAGAGGACATCAGAAAACTGAACATGCCCTCCAATTAGATTCTACAAAAAAAAAAAAAAAAAAAAGCAGCGTGCACTGGATTCAACAGATTCACCTGAACTAGGCAAGAATTTTCTATCCTATTGCACATCTGTTGTTTTACTTTACACATTATGCTACGGCACGTCTGCCCTGTGCTCTCACAGAGAGAAATCTGTGTGGCACTGAGTCGTTCATAAGGCAATCACTGTATAGAAACCTGACCACGTGGTGGGGTATCCACGCATCTCGTGGATATAGCAATATACATACAGCAAAACCAAGGGCATTTCCACATGGTACTCCACTACCAATCCTATGTGTGTCAAACACCAAAATGTCAAAAGTACCAAAAGCACTTCAATGGAAGTCAGTTTCAAGTGTAATATGATAGCTACAATACCTATGGCATAAACAGGGAGACAATTTTTCCTATAGACACTAAAGATAGTTCACACTACCAATAGCTCTGATGCTTCTCATTGGCATATGAATGTATGGATGTAGCTTAATTAAACAAAACTATGCCTGTGCAAAGGAAATGTAGTAGTAATTTTAATTTCAGTCCCTGTACCTACAACAAGAGAATTTTCTCTAAATACTGCTTTAAAGCTTGTGTGAAAGAGCGTGGCTATATTAAAAACGCATCATTGTTTGTACATTCTTTCATTTGTCAAATATCAATTCTGCTGTTTTAAAACAATCTGTACTTAATTTAACCTAAGTTATCTAAGCTTTTTATGCTTTCCAATACATTACGCCAAAGCATATTTCAGTATGATTGATGATGAGTTTTTGAAATAGTACTGTTGCAAAAATAAGAGCTGGTATGATGCATTTTGCTATAACAGATTTTCAAGTAAACAATAAAACTTCCAACTTCCCGGGACTTGCTTCCTTCCTTAAATGACATTTAATAATCAGAACCTTCCTCACTCTTGCTAGCAGTCCAGCTTTTACTATTATCCCCATCCCCACAGCTGATAGAGGGATACTCTACATTTTAGGCACACAGACTCCCCTTAGGCCTACAGGATTCTCGGGTACTGGTACAACTCTTTGCACAGATGCAACGCTTCCTGAAAGGAAACAAATAACTTCACCATTTTGCTCATTTTTTGTACAAGTTCCATGGCTACAGAAATCACACAGCACTACACACGTCTGCTCACTTTATAGATCTCTCAACTTTGCAAACTTTTCTGCACGGTTACAGAATTCTTTTTTGCACTTGAATTCACTGGTTGAATACTTAAGCACTGGCAGCATAAACCTCAAGAAAAATCCTACAGCTCTCTGAAAAATGATGCAGACCATTGTTGAAGTTCAGCCCTAAATGCCATGATGTTGTAAAATAGGATGCACACACAGCTGGCCAAAAAAGAAGCAATAAACAGTCAACAAAATTGTGCATTGGTCTTCAGAATCATAAGAAGAATGAAATATCATTTATATGCAAGTCATCTAATTTTCTATTTACTTCCTTCCTTCGTGTAAAATTAACTGAAAGCATGGTCTTAAATACACAACCTTCAGCTTAACTGGTTCCTACCTCCAGCATTAGTTACTGACCTCTTTCACACCTCGCCTCCCCAAAATGCAGCAATACAGGCTGAAACAAGGAGCCTTGTTGGTTTTGTTTTGCTTGGGGCAGGGAAATAGACAGACTGCTTCCAGCAACTGGGAATAGGGAGCAAATTGCAACACTGTTCATGGGAAGGTAAAGAGGAAAACCCAGAAATTTCACAAGTAAACAAAATGCAGGTGCAACAGCAACATCAATTAAGAAGCCATTCACTTGACATAAAGCAGTACAGCAGAGCTTTCTAGGCAAAGTTTACCTGCGAGTTCTATTCTGCTTGATGCATAAACGTATCCCAGCTGACACTTACAGATACAACAGATTTCCACCTTTCTGCAAGTAATACAGGAAAACCCATATGCAAAAATCAAGCTTCAGGTCTTAAAAATGCAAAGTAAGGAATGTGGTCCAAGTGTCACTAAGAAGATCAAAACCAGCCTATAATAATATCTGAGTAAGAGGCACTGCATCTTCACTATGTCTTTGCTTTCCTACTTACCAAAGACAATGTGAGCATGAGCTTGGCCACAAAAGGGAAGAATAGAAATGTAAAACAGAAGGCTGGAGAAAGGATAGAGTGTGCAGCATAGCAGCAGGACAACAAGGGAAAATGGAAATCTCATGCAGGGGCACGGGAAGCAAAAGAAGGTACAAAATTTACAAGATTGGTAATTAATACTATAAAGGAAGTGCACATTTTCACTACCAACCAACAAAAATGACAACACAATACCAATCAAGTAAACAATTGCTAAATTTCAATTCATATTCCAGCACTTTATGTCGCCATTAAGCTTTATGTAACTATCCTATAGAGAAAACATGAACCACTGTTAATTGACTATATTAATTAAAATACTCTATTTATGCAAAGGAAATTGACTCCTTTACAGCATTTTGTTCTAGATTCAAATACATCTAGCTTATAAAGCAGTTGTGTACAAACAGCTAAAAAAAAAACAGTTTTAGCCCTTAATAAAAAGATGAGTTACATGACACTTACTGCCACAGCATGTTTGTGACTGAGGTCACTGGGATAAGAGGCACTTGGGTGGAAGTCAGCAGGTGGGCCCAAAGCTGGATCACTGCTCCTTCGTACCAGAAGCGGCATGCCTAGGAGACAAAATTAAGAGTTAAGATTGTTTCCAAACTCCTTTCACATATACACAAACACTGCAAAGATGTTCTTGTTGAAACTACCAGAAAGCCAGTTGCTGGTATTTTTTAATCGCAACTGTCACAACTGAATAAGCCATATTCCAAATACAAATGCAATGCTCCTTATACTTTTAAGGCCATCATCCCTACCATTCTTCTCATTTCTGTCAGTTGATTTTCGTAACTGAAGTAAGTGAGGACAAAAGCAGACAATACTTAATTCCTTCAGGAGTCCAACAGACACAGAGTAACAGGGTATTAATCTGAAAGTCTAAGCACAGCATGAGGTAAAGGTTTTGTTTTCCACCTATGCGCTACCCTGAAGAAGTCCATAGCAGGAAGGTTAGAAGTGACCATAATCAGAATATACAGTCCCTGTGCAGCTCCAGCTCACACCATCAGCTGGGCCTGGGGCAAGCATTCAATGCTGCACAGTGGCACAGGCAGTACTAACACTTGTTACGGGTTAGAACAGAGTGAGCAAACTGTCTGTAGATAAGCACCCTGACAACATATACCAGAAGTATATTAGAACATCCACTATACATACATACTTTTAATTTGTTCATCACTGTCGTCCTTAGACATGAAGAGTTGGTAATGGAAAACTAGCACTTACCCCATTTATTATGTGATTACACAGACAACTATACAAAGTTTATTTAAGAGATACACTTGACTGTTGTTTTTTGTCAACAAACAACACCTTTTTTCTTACCGCATTCTTTTTGTCACGTTGTGCTTCTATATTATTCTACTCATGCTACAGCATTTGTGCTGAGCATTTACAATAACCATTGTAAGCTAAGACAGAAGAAGTATTTCTTTTCTGTGAATAATGAAATACAGAAAACACGTTCCCTTCTGCATACCAAGCTGATCATACAAGTCATGCTATTTATAAGCACTACGTTTTGTGTCAGAGCAGCACTCTGTATCTTAAACTTTGGAACTTGGTTTACAGAGTATTTCTCCTCCTCCCACTGCACTGCAGCAGTAAGCCACAGACAACGAAGAGTCAAATGTGTCCTCAACTAAAATTTTATTCTCCTAATGGCTTTGATTTCCTCAGGGTGCATTTCCCTCTTTCAAACTCTGTCCAGAGCTCCTTCTGTCACAGTATTGCAGAACCTCATCCCAGCCTTACTCACTCTTTGACAAAGCTGAGGAATTTGTCTGGTGACACTAAAACCTCCATACTATTTTGTTTCAAGCCACGCAGAGCAATCAATTTCCCTTTTGCTAGCATCACCTTCAAGGATCAGTCTCTATACAGATTCATGGTTAACAGTATATTTTCCCTGAACTCTTATGTTTTGGAAATATTTTTTTTTTTAACTGCAAATATGGTTGAATTGAGCATATGGTCGAAACCTCACTTAGATTTAAATTGGTTACATTAGAAAAAACAGAAGAGAAGTTCTGCCATTTGTGCACAATTAAAAAATGAAACCTTGCATCAACACAATAACAAAAGAAACATCTCCATGCCGGATGTAATCCTATTTGCTCAGTTTGTTTTTTAAATTAAGTAAAAAGCCATATGGAGACATTAACACCTGCCCTGATCAGGAGCACCTTCTGCCTCACTTTGCAGTGCTTGCACCCTCTGGTGAATCAAAACTTGTGTTGGGTTAGGAGGGGGCTGGCTAACAAGAAATAGCACATTTAGGAATACTGCACAACTGCAGAGAAATAACACAAGGTCTGGAGGTCAGTACCCCAGTGCGGTCACAGAGCCTTGAGCTGCAGCTCTCTCAATCACGCTGAGCTCTTCAAGGTTTCCTTCTAGGCTCCAGCAGCAAATCTGATGCCTAGATTTAGATAGTTAAATATCACCCAATGTGACCATGAATGCAAACATGACTACTCCAACCTTTCCTCCACTTTTTTCTTTTGTGTTTAAAGTCGCCTTGCTTGGGAAAGAACAATTCACCTCTAGCTGAAACACTTCCACCTCTGTTATTTAGTTTGCAGGCTGCAGTCACTGGGCCAAATTCAGAAAACTGATAACCGGAGTTTTTCACCCAAAAGCCATTGATATGGGCTGTGCTATCTAAAACACAGTCTTTCTGGTGCAAATATACTCAGACAAATTTCAGGTAAGCTGCCAAATAGAAGAACGTAGGGAATATAAGCACTCGCAGTCAACTGCATCTGTTGCAGCTTTCTTACATATTGTAAATTTTGTTCGCTTGCTTAGCAATGGAAGAGGAATGAACTACTTTTGTGAAGAACAAATGATACACATGGATGGAATACTGTAAGTGGGTAGAAAGATTTACAGTACATCACCTAGACTGTTAAAGTCCTACTTTTAAATTCTGCTCCTGCATGTAAAAATGTTTATTAGGATAGGAAAAAAGCTCTCTGTCATGCGTGTATCAAACTAAAGGCCACACCAATGACAATCCCTTCTCTGCCTGCTGCCACATCGCACTCACCAGTATAAACTACCTTCTCATGCCTGTGTGTGTCAGAATGTTATTCTTTTTTAGAGCTTCCTCAGAACACAGCTCAACAACATTTGAAGCCAACATTGAAGCAGAACTCTATAAAGAGAAAATTCACCCACATGCACCAATGTGAAATTGTCCTTCAACACAGACAACAATGTGCTGGAAGATCCCTGACAAGCTATTCATCGCTATACAACAGCCACTAAAGCAGAGAGCAGAAAGACTTTTAACCGGTCTTGTCACCAAACAAATACAGAAACTGAAAACAAAATATTACAAGCAGGATAGTCATTTGTATTTAAATACAGGCAAGGTCATTAATACATAACCATTTTTCTTCTTTTTATCAGATACATTTCACATTAGCAGGCGTGCAGACAGCTCTGCCAGTCAGGGCTTTTTGAGAGCACAAGCAATCAGCGCGGGTAATCCAGTCACCCTGGATTTATTGCTTACTTCCACCTGAGGCACCACATAATGGTGCTGCCATGTACTTAAAGTGCAGCTGACACTACCTTGTAAATTCTACCATCTGATAGGATCACAACCCCCCCCCCTTTTTTTTTTCCTCAAGTATCTACTGCTCCAACAACAGAGCTCCTATGTTTAAAACTAACCCAAATTGCTCGTAATAGCACCTATCAATACAATTTAAGATCTACATCTATCTGTTCTGTCTGAAGTGCACACTGCACTGTTAAATTCCCATGGATACAAGATTAAATTAATGAACTAGGATGATGTAACAGTGAGACAATTGACTTAAAAATCTACAAACAGATGAAAATCAATTTCCAACCAGCTCTCTTTCATACACTATGAGCCCAGTGCTCTAATAGCAGCACAAGGTATCTCTCCATTGCTTTTAATAAGGATATCTTAAAGAAACAAAAGCTATGAACTACAAGGAAAATCCAGTAGATTGTAAACAGATTTTTTTTGGTGCTGTGTATTTCAACAGAATGCTTTTCCCTGGTTGTACACCATGGAAAACATGAAGTCAGAGTTTATTTACAAAACACAAAGACTGTTCCCACAGTTTCTGACCAGAATTACATTCTTTTACTACTGTCATTATAAGAAATGATACCTAATGAAACAACTGTAGGATATTTGTACTTATCGTTTTTGAGGTTTCAATGGCAGATATTACACATAAGAACTTCCCACGTAGATATTTTAGTAATGAAGTTACTTTACATTCTGTTTGCAGAAATTAAATCAACATCCACACGAAACGAGGTTCCCCACTCCTCATCTTAAGGCACAAGTGTACTCATGTACGTACCTATGGAAGACATAGTAGTACTGCTGCTGTGTTCTCTCTATCAGGAAGGTCTCCATCCACAGGGCAAGCCTTCAAGTGGGGTCCCCCCCCAGGTACACTCCTCCTACCCTTCATGTCACAGCATACCTCGAATGCCAACCGATTCAGCCTGTTCCCACTTCTGTCAGCGCAGCGCTCCCAGCTCCAGGCCCAACAAGAGCTGGGACACAGGGAGCTACAAAGGTGCGCCGAGGGGCCTCAGCTGCGGGCACTGCATCAGCAGCCCAGGCGTGGGGCCTGATCAGACTTCCACAGCAGGCAGAGCAGGGGCTTTGCCCCGCCGGGATTCTCACAAAATACACAACCCTTCCACTGGCTGGAAAGGCTGACGAGGAACAGGGCGGGAGCAGCCTGCAGCACTCACTGACCAGCACTCGCCACCACAGCCTGGCTGCTGGCTCCTGCCCAAGGAAGGCCCTGTCCCTGCCACAGCTGCACCGTGCTGCCGGCTGAGGCTAAAGGCCTGGGCGGCTGCAAGCACCTCAGGTCTTTCAAGTACCATTGAAAAATATACAAATACACAGATATTATATATCTCACTTCTGTTGCATTAGAATTTCCCTACACATGACTTTGTTTTTAACATAATCTCTTCAAATTGCATTCGATGTAAATGGAATCTAAACTTCAGATACACCAGCAAGAACGGTTTCTTGTTACTCCTCCAACCTGCTGGACACAGCAAAAAGCATTCATCTTACTAAACAGAGTGTTGTATTTAAACAGCATATTATCTGCATTTAAATCAATCATTTTAGGTTAATCCATCCTACAAGATTTTAAAGCTAACAGATCTCAGACTCTCACACCTAATTTTTATTCACAGACTGAAAGATGAAAATAAGCGTTTTTTCTATTTCAATTCCCAGTACATTTCTCAACTTCAAATGAAACACTTAATGAACTTCACTAGCTGAATAAACTGACACAAAGAAAACATTCTCTGCACCTGCAGCAGCAGCTGCGCTGCCAATGGCTGGTTTAGCACTTGGGCCACATCAGTTATGGGTGCTCAGGCAGGGACTCCTCCACAGTTCAGCACCTTGGTCTTCTCTGAAAACTTTGGCACCTGAACTGTACAGCCTGAACATGACATGGGTAGCATTTTATTGCTGAAATACTAAAATACACCTCTTGACTGTTTCAATGGTGTTTTTAAAGAAGTATAT